TAAAACTCTTTACAAAAATCTGAAGGGCAGGTCCAGAATTGATGGCCTCTCAAGTCCGTAAATTGCATCTGTGATGTTGTTTAGTAAGTTCAACGCTAAATGAGTATCAGTTAAATTAACTTATCCAATCAATAGTGTTATTAATACTTATGAAGTCAAACGGAACGGGGTGAAGCCCGTGGATAACAGCTAGCTGTCTAGTTGATATAAAACACGTTTTTGAAAATAATTCGTTTGATGCTTTAAATGCAAATGTTAGGCATTTATTTTATGAGTTATTTAACTTTTCATACAACAGATCTATGGAACATAACAATAAATTATTCTCTTTAGCGTTCCTTTAGCGAAGCACGGGTATGGCGGCTAGCTATAGTACGCTCTATTTCGCAACGGGTACACAAGTTCAGAATACATTTAATTGTTTGATGTAATAATTAAGTCAATAGCCCAAAAGTAAACACATCCGATTTATTGTGCATCCTATGTTCAATTGTGTTTTGGATTTTGTCACATAACCTGAAAACCAGTCAAACGGTTACATGGAAATTGTGGGAAATTTCGCTCTACAAGTGCCTGCTGCATCCCTGCATTTATCCCACTGAGCTAGATTTATCCAACAATGTTGTCATATTAAGGGAGTAACACTAAATTCAGGGGCGTAATCTCGCTGAATAAAATTAAAAGTCTGCAGCAACACCTATTTCAAATTTTAAAGACAGCTTTGTCTGGAGCTCCGTTTTTATATATTCTACTACTGTATTTAACTTATGGATTTTATTTTGTACCTTTCATATGTGTTATATTTAGCTAATAATCTTAACATATTAAAGTAAAAGCCCTCACTCAATGATTCATTACTAATCCAACTTCCAGACTAGCTAGAACGTTGAAATTTGGTGTACTGATTCTTCATGCATTAAATGGGAAAACTAAGTAGTTTTTATCCTGATCCGACTTTTGGGTTCCACCCAAGTGTTTCTGGAGTTTCCTTGTTAACCTTATAAGTATCTATATTATTAAAAGACTTTGTTGGATTTTGTGCGCAGCAAATTGACCCATAAGTTTGAATGTTTATAGGCATATTGGGTATCTATATATTAAATATAGATACCCAATATATTTCATAGGCAAACACGAATTTTGTGACGTATCCGCTTTGAAGCTGCTATGCATCCGATCACCACGTAGATAAATAATGCTTTCCATTGACCCACCTTTATATTGATTGGCATATCACTGACAAATGATCACTATAATGTATCTCAAAACATATACAAGGCCTAGAATACTAAAATTTTGCATTGGGACGACAATCCATGTATATGGTGAAGATGTACAAAGTTGGCGGTTTTGCAAAGTTCTAAATTCAAGGGTGGTTTAGGGGATTAAAGCTATTTCAGAAGAAATTCGAGTATGCAAGATATTATATTTTGGTCTGTAACTTATAAGCTACAATGCTTGGATCTTAAATCTTATGGAAGATCGGTAGTGTAGAATTAAATTATCCACATTTTTTGAATTTCAAGAGTGTTTTTCTATCTCAAACATCTTTCGAGTAAAATAGGTTTACATTCAAAACTGTGAAAATTTGCTCGTTCCGCCACCTAAAAACTAGTCAGTGTCCATACGTTTAACCATATGATTACCAATCTTTTATTTTATTAAATAGCATTATTTATTATATAATAATAATGCATAAATCAATAAAAGCTGTTAAAAACCTATCAAGTGTACTATCGCAAGTATAGCTACCGACATTATTACATTTTAGGAGCTTGCTCCCGTAAACATTTGAAATCTTCTATTCTAAAGCTTCAATTCAGTATAGGTTGTTATCATTAACCGGAACTGCTACACAATTTGTTGTAAAACGGTGATAGTTTTCGTTAAACGTTAATAGAGTCAATCTTCTTATATTTAAAAATAAATTTAACCGATTTTCATGATTGAGGTCTCAAATTGAAGGTGTGCACAGATTTCACTCTAAGCATCGGTATATATATTGATCTACTGTATTACTCGTCCAAAAAACATATATTTGACTTTTTCGAATTCTTACTTCAATTTAAGATGCATTTCACCAGTTATAATTATATAATCCTACATATTTTGGTCTAAGAACCTTCAGTGAAATGCCGGCTTTCATTTAAGCTACCGGTATTAATTAGTTATCCAAATCGGACGGACTACAAGCAATTGCAATGTGAACAACCAACATATAAATTATTTTTTTATAAGGGTTTTCTGTGATTAAAAATCAATAGTTCCACTATTGTTTATGGTTTTTTTTCATGTTTTGGACGCAAAATAGTACGTTAATTAAAGGTTTTAATTTGAGCTATTTATCGTTTGAATCAGTTAAGATCAAGATACTCAATAAAAATTTATAAATTTGATTATTGCTCGAATATGATTTTCATTTCAACGTTGTAGAGTAGCATGGGCCCTCTAGTAATTATTAAATGTACAGAAGGGACAACAAAATTCAAGAATAATATCAAATCAAGAGCATGCCGAGACAGTAACGGGGAACATCATATATACAGTATATCACTAAATAAAATAATGTTTTTGTGTTACTTTTAATCCTACTTTAGACTCTCTGAAATACTTTTCAATAAAGTTAGAGAAAACTAACTGTACCATTGGAAAATTTGGCTTGGAGTATGATTATGAATGAAAGGAGATATGAATACTTTAGTATATTTGGTAAAAACATCATTTAGGTTGTTCCAGAGAGGGTAGTTCCGTTCCGTAGCGAAATCAGTGACAACTTCAGCATAGTAAAGAATAAAAGACGAAAAAGTATGTCGGGCGATGCCAACGGCAACAGCTAGTTAATTAATAAAATCTGACCCGTTAATACTGTAGATTTAGTTACAAGAGAAAGTAGCCTAGCAGTGACCCAGGGGCATGGAGAGAAACAGGTTCCCAAGATGATGGACTTAATGTCGTATTTTGTTATTTACAGTATTTCACCTATGAAAAGTTCTAACTAGATATTTTATACATATAATTTCCTTCGGCATTTATACTGCCTACTTTGTAGCCGTAAATATCGGAATTACCCACATTACCCTTGTATGGGAATGTTTATTGCTCCAGACCTTTGGGTTGGCAGCACTGTTCACCCCATAACAACTACTCCCTCCCCCAGAAACCTTGCAGCCAATGAGAGCAGTCGATGCCCCCACCACAAGAGCAAGAGGGCGTTCATTACCTCACCAAATTGAAAAGTAACCAACCTGACCGATTTCAATATCGGGCAGGTAGGTCCCTTCACCAGTTTGAAAGGTTACCTACTAGAAGGGATCCCATCTGAACGTCATCCAAAGATTCCAATCCAAGGTTCTAAGGCACATTCTCCAGGCACCATGGTTCGTTAATAGCGAAGTGCTTCATAGGGACATTCGAACCCCAACGGTCAAAGAAGAAATTTCAAGGTTAAGTGCCAAATACTTAGAGTACCATACTAACTACCTTGCTTTAAATTTGTTGTACAACAGCAACTGTGTATATAGATTGAAAAGATACGGAAAGTAATTAAAGATACGTCTTATAACACTTAAACATATATTTACGCTTATACTGTTACTCACAAGACGGTAAATATACAAAAGATGGTAAGTGGTGATCGATTTCGATTGGACACTCCAATCATCATCAGACCCAATAGGCGAAAATCATTGACGGGAGGGCGCGGTGGCGGGGCAGGATTAAATTGTAGTCTTGAGGGGGGGGGTCTGGGTCCTCCGTGGACCGGTGGGGCACACGGGAGGGACTAAGGCTAACATATCTTGTAGTGTCAGCGTTCGCCGCTAGAACTGCTAAGTTGAAATAATTTAAAATTATTTTTTTTTATTTTTAGTCATAAAATTAACTTTTTAATTATAAAATATTGTTTCAAATTATAAAATAAATTTTTAATTTATTAAACTGTCATAACATAACCTAACCAACCAGACTTGCTGATAATATAAAAATCTAATTAATAATTACTTATAATTTTTAATTAATTATAAAATTAATTTTAGAATTTAGTATTATAAAATTTAACTGTCATAACCTAACCTAACCAACCAAACTTGCTGACATGAAAAATTTGTTGACAAAAAGTTAGTGCTACTAGCGGGATTCGAACCCGAGACCTCCTGAATACCAATCCGAAACTCTACCAACTATGCCACGAACGCCGCTGAAATCACATCGTTTCGTTACGGTAATCGTGTCGCCTCAAGAGAAGACATTAGCCACTAGAGATATGACGTCACTACACCTTTAGCCTTAGTCCCTTCCGTGTGCCTATTCCCTCCACGGTCGGCCTCGTGAAAAGAAGAAGAAGAACAGAAGGAGACCCCCCAGTCGGAGCACAGAAAACTTACTACTATATAACCCGGTGGGGCACACGGGAGGGACTAAGGCTAACATATCTTGTAGTGTCAGCGTTCGCCGCTAGAACTGCTAAGTTGAAAAATTTAAACTATTTTATTTTTATTTTTAGTTATAAAATTAACTTTTTAATTATAAAATATTGTTTTAAAATTATAAAATTAAACTGTCATAACATAACCCAACCAACCGGACTTGCTGATAATATAAAAACTATATAAAAGATAAAAATCTAATTAATGATTACTTATAATTTTTAATTAGTTATAAAATTAATTTTAAAATTTAGTATTATAAAATTAAACTGTCATAACCTAACCTAACCAACCAAACTTGCTGATATGGAAAATTTGTTGACAAAAAGTTACGCTGCCAGCGGGATTCGAACCCGGGACCTCCAGAACACCAATCCGGATCGCTACCAACTATGCCACGAACGCCGCTGAAATCATATCGTGTCGTTACGGTAATCGTGTTGCCTGAAGAGAAGACATTAGCCACTAGAGATATGACGTCACTACACCTTTAGCCTTAGTCCCTCCCGTGTGCCCATTCCCTATACAACCAGTACGTTTTCTGTGGTCGGAGTCGAGTTAGTTTACTATCTGCATCTATCTGTCACTTCTTACAAGAAGTTTTCTCGTTTTCTCTGTAGCTTTTCTGTAGTCTGTTTTTGTTTTGACTTTTGGAGAGGCGAGTGGCGACTACAGCAGACAGGCGAGGGGACAGTGGATGGAATGTAAGTGAGTGGACACTCGGACAGTGACAGTGGTAAACTTCTTATCTACAGATTGTAAGTTTGTCTTTCATCATATCGTAATGTAATGATACTGTTAAGGCTAGTAGTTGGACTAGTCCCTAAAATACACCAAAAGATTGAGCTTACATTTACGAAGTAAACTTATAAAATAATGTTAATTTAGGCCTAGGCCTATTGTTACTTTTTCAAACGTCAAATATTGTTTTTTGTGAAAAACCACCAATACGGTAGCTTATTGCTGTGTAATAATGGCACACTAAGTTAGGCCATTACAATAATTAATTGATGTCTATGGCTAACACCCTGATCAAATTTAACTCATGTATAATTAATTGAGCTTTTTGACAGTTCAAGTTATAGGCTAGGCCAAAGTTAGGTCCAAAGTAAGGCTAGGTCCAAGGTAGGTGTGGGTTGGGGAGTGGGCGTTTTTGACAGGAGGATTAATTGGCTGCACTTTTGATTACGTTCTACCCTCATTCGAATGAATAATATCGATATTTGGCCTGGATTAACTTATTCGATATATCGGTTATTTCATTGGTTGTAACCTAACAATCCAAACTTGATATCTCGAATGAAATAATCGATACTGTATATCGATTGATATATTCATTCGAATGAGTGTAAGTAGCGCGTAAACTAAAGTGCAGCCAATTAAGTTTCTCCCTAATCCCCGTATTTCACCTAGTTTTGGGGTAAGACATTCCAAACATCGTACTTCAGCCTACCCTGTTTTTGGGGGGGAAAATTCAATGGAATCTTCGCCATCCCCCTTTTGTACGAATACAAGCGGGACCACATGGCTCATATGCAGTTTTAGTATGTCCTCTGTTATCAAATCCTCAGTTTCATCAAAACATGCTATGGTCAAACTAAAATAAATACTTATAACTTAGACCTTTTTTTTTTTTTTTTATCCGGCCTAAGGGTATGGTACTCGTCAAGTAAATTTCTAGTTTGATAAATTTCATGAACCCAAACAGACCACTAGAGAGTTGCAAGAGTGCAACTTCATCTGCATCCTTAGCTATTGCTAGCAAGAGGAAAGCTTCTTTTCCTCACGGGTGTCGCCACCATAGGGGACACGTCCCCCCCAATATTTGAAAAGTCAGTTTTGTCTCATCTCAAATTTAGCTGTAGACATGCTAGGGCAAAGGCGAGTGCCAAGTGCGCGAGCGAGGACGGGATTTCCTTATGTTCCATACTCATAGTTATATAGTTGTGAAACTGTCTACTAGCCACTGACTTTACATAGGCATCAATCAGCAATCAGCGGTAGCACCAGTAGCCTATTACCATTAACTATAGGCCTATAAACACTAGTGTTAAAGTTTATATTGGCAATGCCATTACTGAATTCAATACTATAGGCTACATATTGTGACAGATCTATGAAATGGAGAAAAACGTAAGGTTAAAAAACGTGTCTAATTGCTTGCATGGCATATTGAAATGGAAGGTTTTATCACAATTGGGCAAAGTTCTAAGGCTTTTAGGAGATATGGCTTCGTAGTCTACAGTAGGCCTATGTTTTGAAATTCATGAATGCAAGTTCAACATCGTTTGATTTTTTAAATGTCTATTTACTCATGACAAAGACAAGAGGTTTTGCACACAGTTCTAGTCGTTAAAAATGGCTTTAGAAAGTCACCCAACGGCTTTTAGGAGGATATGGCAGTAGTCTACAGTGTGTTTTGAAATTCATTAATGCGATCGTCATAGTTTAATTTTTAAGGTGTCTATTTGCTCATGACAATCAACAGGTGGAATGGGAGTTTATGGACAGTTGGGCACGGTTGAAGGTGTTAAAAATGGCTTTAGAAAGTCACCAAACGGCTTTGAAAATTCCGAATTTTCCCGGGGGAGGACCCCCCTGCCTTGAGGGGGTGCTCCACATCCCCCAAGCCCCCCGGAGGACCCCCCTTTTTGTCCCCCCTAAAGTGTTGACGCTGACGACACCAATGCTTTTCCTTGTGCCCTCAGATTCACAACTTGAACTCTTAAAACACAATAATATAAACACAGTGTTAAGGAAGCTATGTTTAAAATATAGCTAGCTACAACTAATGTAGCCTTCTACATTTCCAAACAAAGTAGCTTAGCTACAGCTACAGTTCCGAAAAAGTAGCCAGCTACAACTACGGCTACAATGAAATGTACCGTAGCTATAGCTACAGTTTTAGCTATTTTTCTAAAGACGTTAGGTACGGTACTTTTAGTCCACACATATGAGGTAAATGTAAAATTAATTGCAACAACATTTTTATTAAACAAACGCTCAAACAACATTACCTAGAAAACAACTTATTCCTAGATTGTATTTAATTTGTTGGCATCATAAACCTAACATTACAGCAACACAACCAAAATAGTTGGGGGTTCCATCATATTTAGTACACTTATTTTTAAATATTGTATTATTTTTAAGCAGTGCCGGATTTAGGGTACTTGCGGCCCTAGGCCAAATTACTTGAGCGGCCCTTCCCCTGTGGTGGAAATTCCTTGTGATCGTGGAAGTAATCGTGAATATCTCCTATGCATCAAAGATACATCATCATCGACACCCGTTATCGTGGATGAATTCGTAGACATCTCTCCTAAACCAAGTCAAAGCCATCATAGGTATCCGTGACCGTGGCAAAATCATCAACATCCCCCGCAGGCTGCAAAAAGGGACATCATCATCGACACTCGCGACCGTGGCAAAATCGTATACATCTCCCGCGAAGCAGCAATCACGGGGACATCATCATCGACACTTGTGATCGCGGCAAAGTCGTGTTAAAAATATCTCCCGTGGACTGCAATCATCATTGTCACCCGCGGCCGTGCCGAAATCGTAAACACCCCCCTCGGGAAGTCATCATGGGGACATCCTCATGACGCCCCCAGCCGTGGTGAAATCGTTAATATCTCCCGTGAGCCGCAATCACGGGGATATCATCATCAACACTCGCGAAAGCGGCTAATTCTTGAATGTCTCCCGCGTGCTTCGATCATGAGGACACATCACCGTCACCCGCAGCCAAGGCTAAATCGTGAACGTCTCCCGCGGGCCGCAATCACGGGGACATTATAATTGACAACTTGCGACAGCGGCTAATTCCCTGTCTCCCGTGGGCTGCGATCACGGGGACATCATCAATCAGCACCCGCGGCCGCGGCAAAATCATGAACATCTTCCTCGTTCCATGGAGACATCATTATGGTCACCTGTGATCGTGGCAAACTGGTGGTTTAAAAAAATCAATTATTTATTGATCTAATAAATGTTTTTCTCAATCCTCTGCGGCCCCCTTTTGCTTGCGGCCCTAGGCCACGGCCTAATCGGCCTAGTGGTAAATCCGGCACTGTTTTTAAGCATCTTTTACATAAATTTCATTAAATTCAAAGGATATACAACTAAACTATATTTTAAAAGCTCATTCGTTTATAGATGTCTTAATATCAACTACAGTAGAACCTCGATAACAAGTGTCTCTAGGGATTATTAAATAATACTTGTTATCAAGGTCGACTTCTTGTTGAGGTTTACAATAACATGTTCTGATTATGGGTAAGATAAAATTCAAGGGGATTAGAAAATGACACTTGTTATAGAGGTTGACTTGTTATCAAGATTCCACTGTCTATTAAAAACAATAAAACTGTAAAACGATTATTTAAAAACATTCTTTTGTGCAACAGAGCCTAGCCTACTGAAATTGGAGTTTATTGCCTTTCTTTATTTTTAATGATAAAAACTACATTGCTATAACGTTTAGGGTAACCATTTGATAAGTTACTTGTTCTATGAATAACACTATTCAATTTCAAGGAATCGTCACCCTTTGTCACTATGCACAGGGCAAATTGTACTTCAACAAACGTTGGTGCACAAAACAGTATTCAGCAACTTATTCTGAAATCGGCTTTTCAATTTAAACTTGTTGAAAATTGTAAAGTGAAAATAACATTTAGGCTTAGGCCTACTTGGCTTTGTAACAAGTTGGCTATAGTAAGCTTGTTCTTACAAGGACTAAGTAGATATATTCCTATTAATTGAACTTGGTATTCGTATATTAATCCAATAGCATAGCCTAGGAATAGTCCTTGACAAGAGCTGTTAGCAGGAGCAAACTATGCTATTTTTTCAATGTAAGCTTCATGGTATATGTAGATTTTTTTGTTACAATTATCATGTAGTCTAGACATGTCTTAAATTTCATCAGGTAATTTCCTCTTCGTTAATTTGGTAAACTTTTGAAAAATCTTGGTAATCCAACCAAGGAAGGGCTTGTGATGATGAACCACAATCAACAGCTGAAGCAAGGCCGCACTAGATATAGGTACGGATATATAGGCCTATGGTATAGATATATGGTATATCTAGTGCGGCCTTGGCTGAAGCAAAGGTTGATAGACCAGCTTTCTCATTATTTTAAGGGTTAGTGTTTGGTTTCCATTAAAACCTAAGTTGAAAATATCAATTAAATAAAGAAACTAAATTGATCACTAATTTCTCTGTCAATCACTTGCAAGCATTCAATAGCTTCTCTTGTCACCGGTAACGTTTAAACGCCGTCTGCATCTAGCGATTTTATTTTATCAGACAGTAGGTAATCATAGAGTAGCAAATGAAGAAAATGAGAGCCAAAAATATGGATAACACTCAGATCCACCCTCTATGCCTCTATGTCCACGCAACGTTGCAATAGGTAATGAAACGGCTGCGACCATATGAAGCTAAGAAGGTAGTTAGGCCTAATTTTCTTGAAAATTTCAGTTTGAAAGAGGTTGTTTCACATAAGGTTGTGATAAAAATCACTACCTCATTCAATGTTAATGTAGCAAGAAAAGTAGCTAAAATTCCGCAACAACTACTTAAAAAATGTAGCTAGCCACAGCTAAAGCTAAAAAACCTGAAAAGTAGCATAGCTAGAGCTAACGCCACACAAAAAAAGTAGCGTGCTACTGTAGTGTCGCTACTTGTAGCGCTCTATTTTCCAACACTGTATAAACATTCACTAAACTAAGCTGAAAATTAATTGAGGAGACATCCCGCTTTCCGCTGCCTGCCCTTTCAGTGTGTGCCCTTTTCCACCACGTAGTGCTGCCGCTGGTTATCGTCAGTCACTCCCCCTCTTCCCGCTCCCGCCGCTGTCCCGCTCCGGTGTGTAAGAGTCTGTAATCCCTTCTCTTATTACAAAAGGTTTGGTTCCTTTGACTGTAGGTACCGTAGGCCTATAATAATGGACCTCAAATTATTCTCCAACAGACTCAAACTCAGTTATGGTGATCTCCATCGAAGTTTATGTTGACTTATTTTAAGGCCATCAATACCTTATTGTCAAGCTTATAGCGTGTGGCATTCTGGTTTTATTTGCCTTTACTGTATCTGGAAGTGAAACCTAGTAACTTTTATCCACTCCAAAACAGAATTTGTCTTCTTGCTATAACAGTTAATTAAAAGGGGAAAAAATAGTCCAGTTCAACATAAGTAAACAACTTAAACAATGTCACTACTAAACTCTTGCTTATTGGGCAACTGTTTATTTTTTTTTTTACATAAGTCTATTAGAAATGCGAGAGCTTACTCTAATATGATTTTTCATTCATTTTAGAGGTAGCCTAAACTTTGTAAACATTGTATCAATAATTTGTTTTTGTCGATGCTGTATAACTTTTGTTTCAGATACAATACCTTAGTTTCCTTTAGATAGTTCAGTGAATCTTCACTAGAAATGATGGAAGCTAAAACTGAGGATATTGAAAATGGATATGAAAATAATGGAGAAGAAGTTGTCTTCAAAAACTTGGATTTCACTGAAAAATCAATCCGTCGAGGATTTATCAGGTAGGCTAAATTCTCAGTTAGATATCTCTTTAACAGGTTTTGTTATTAAGATTCCGCTCTACTACCAAAGCACAAATCGAGTAGGCCTATGTTTAAAACTTCCTTAATTTATCACTGGGATAATTATGAAATCACAATTCCATCTAACATTTTATCATGATACTAGCCGCTATATAGCTGTGCCTTGCAACAGGGCCAGTATGCAAAAGAGAAAAGTTGGTTCTTTGAAAATGCCTTCACAATTATTTAACACCAATCATTTAATTTAGAAACGAAATTGAACTGTATTACTTAACTTGATAATAGTACGTAACTTGAACAAAAAGCACATTCCAATAGTTCCAAACCTGTCAATGGATGCTTTTCGTTTAGCCTACAGTACAAACTACTCTTAATGTTATTTGATTTTTTCTTAAAATCTATCACTGATTTTGGATTTGTACAGTAGCCCAAATAAGTGTTCACAGTCTGAGTTAGCAAAAATATACTATTTAAAAATATAAAAATGTACTATTTAAAAATGTAAAAATGTACTATTATAAATAGTGATGGGCCGATTCCAAAATTTCTCGATTCCGATTCCGATTCCGATTCTTAAATTTAAGATTCGAATCTCGATTCCGGACTCGATTCCGATTCCAAATTCAATTATGTTTTATGAATGTGTTTAAAATTGTGAAATCAGTACAAGCTTACCAAGCATGTTATCTATATGTAGAATTTAGAATGTCACACATTCAATACACATTTACAAGGTTATTGTAAAATACTAGCCATAGAATATTATAAAATAACTTTTATATGTACTATAAAAAATCATTCATTATCATTATAAAAAATCAGCCCCTATCCAATTCTTGATTTTTAATTTATATACAAACTAACCTAACCTTATATAAACTTCTAGGAGTAGGCCTAGTTGAAACAAAAACATAATTAATTATACAGCTTAAGCAATAGATCAATAATATTAATATTTGGTATCTGATCTACATTTAAGTCACACGATTCACAACAAAAGTAAGTAGAAAAAGTCAAAAAGGAAAAAAAACAGTGTTAGGTACATACATATTTGTTGGTTTATTATTAGTATTACAAAACAAAACACAATCAGTATATTACACTAAAACTGAATCAACACTTGTGTATGATATAAATAAGGAAAATCAAATCATTAAAATGGAGAAAATATTAATAAATCTTTACAGTCCACCTAACTTACCTAATTTTAACATGAATCTTTACAGGTATACAAATCAAATCAATATTGGAAAGAAGTCTAGTTTCTTAATAAAATCAAATTCCTATATTTATTTTTGCACTCTCAATTCATTACCGTTGTTTGTACACCCTCCTAAAGTTCACGTCCGAAACCATTGTCGATTGTCCATTTGAAATAAAAAAAAATAAAATATGAACATTATAAGCAAAATCAAAATGTATATCCAAGCATAGCCTACAAAAAAGAGTCTTGGAAGATTTAAGATTGAAACTCAGTACTCAATACGATTTGTTGATGCCGTCCGTACTGGAGCATTTAAGTATTTTTCACTTTATCAGTGTTGCCACTGTTGGCAGACAATAACGGAACCTGCAAAACTACTCTGCCTATCGGCCATTAAAATACCCAGTGTTCGAAGATTTACCCGTTGATTGCAACACTAAACAAGTTTATTTACAATTTCGCGCACTTGAACATTTATAGGTAGTTAAAACCTTCCAATTCACTGTACAAAATTATATTGCCAAGCCCAAGCCCAAGTCGCTTTTAGGCTATAGGACGCTCGCTCTAGTCTCGTTGAGTAGTGACGTTTCGGGACCGAATACGAAGTGTTTTGTTATACTTAATGAATGGTAGCTCAGCTCTGTTTAGGGATGAGCATCGATAGTAGATGTTTTCGCATCACCGATGTTTTTCTATAGATTTTCGTTGTTTTTCACATCGATGTTTTTGACCAAGTGTAATTGAGATATCGATGCTTTCCGTTACTGGAGAGTACAGAGACCAGACGAAAAATTGAAGAAAAAAATCTATGTCTTAGTCCCAAAAACATCGATGTTTTCACAACGATGTTATCGGTTACTGATAACATCGATGTAGCGATGCAATGATTCAGTTAGTAGCACCAATACTAGAAAAATACCGGTATGGATCATAAACATAAACAAATGACGTTGTTGGCCCGAATCCTCTACGAATAGCGTTGAACATATGTTTTGGCAGTTCAATTTAAGCAATGTGAAATAATGTGTATTTTCGGGCCAAAAATGTCATTTGTTTATGTTTATGATCCATACCGGTATTTTTCTACTTTTCTAGTATTCGTGGTTAGTAGCCTTGGTACCACTGGTTGATCTAAATCGATGCTCATCCCTTTCCTTGTATGTCTTGTGAGCTGTGGCGCAATGCTTACTCGCTCCAGTCCAGTTTGCCCGAATCTCCAATTCCCATCTGTTAACTGTTTCTCATTGTAGGCTACTATCTGTATTGAGTTCGCATCTATTATTTTTGCAATACGCTCGCTCTAGTCTCGCTGAGTTAGTGACGATACGACCAGGACTTGTTGTTTGCTCAGAGTTGCAAGCAAATCATTAGCAATCTGAATTTATTTTGTTTCTTTGTTGCTTTATATGACGTTTATGGCTTATTTTAACCAATTTTATCAAAGAATCGAAGAGAGTCAGAATCGATCCCAAACCCACGGAGATTCGAATCGAATGCTCGATTCGATTCCGGCGGAATCGAGAGTATTTTGGAATCGAGAATCGGAATCGGCCCATCACTAATTATAAATTTAAGTAATACAGTTCAATTTTGTTTCTAAATTAAATGATTGGTGTGAAACAATTTTTAAGGCATTTTCAAATAACCAACTTGTCTCTTTGGCATACTGACCCTGTTGCAAGGCACGGCTATAGCGGCTAGTATCATGATACAATGTTAGATGGAATTGTGATTGCATAATTACTTCAGTAATAAATTAAGGAAGTTTTAAACATACAGTTGATAAATCTTTTATGGTCCTAACCAACTAATCAGCTAAAATCTACCCAAAATATTAGCTATTTTAAAAATTCCCCCAAAACATCTGGCAATGTTGCAAGTTGCAACGTCCAACCAAGGCCCCACTAGAAAAACAGGCCATGCTGCAGGTTCCATGACATCACACTAGTGGATAGATTCACTGCCACATCTCATATGTTTTAGGTAAATAAGCTGACTGTTTGTCAGATTTTAGTACAACTACTAGCTGTGTACCCGTTCTACGCACGGGGATCTTATAGTAATCAGTTGAAACCTTCTTATTGGATAATAAGAACAGATAATAAGAACAGCAGTTGGTTTGCATATTTTCAGATATGCTGGCCAAACTATTTATTATACATAACTTCATTTTATGTCGTTTGTTGTTGTTCCGGATCGGTATGACAATCAATAAAAGGCTAAATTACCTGTGTCCGCTGGTCGATCCTAATGTATCCTATTAAAGGAGATGCATTTCGGCGAAATTAAATCGCCATCATCAGTCCTAAAGGTCTTGAGCTTCCCCATTAGGTGCGTCTTGGAGTTTTTGAAACACATACACGAACTGTACACTTATACACATGACGAATAAAACATAAATACACGGTAGGCCTACTTTTATTTTTACTATGGACAAGTAGACGCGCGTCGGTCGTGTGCCGAGTCTCAACTGAAAAAGCTCATTTAAAAAATGTAAGTTTCCCAGCAATATACAACACTGATTCAAGGTCTATTTCCCGGTTATCAAAACTCAAAAACAATTTTATACACAAAGAATATCTATTTTCATTTACTGTTACCCTACATATTATTGCACTTGCGATTAATTAAATCCGTTATGTAAGGAAAAACGTTTTTAATCTTAATTGGTTTGGATTTGCTTTCAAAACGTGATCGGAAATGGTTGCGGTATTTGTAAACAACATTCAATGTAAACATATGAGTGACAGCTACAAGAAATAATCTTGATTTGAACAGCTGTTCGTTATTTCATAGAAGAATATGTGCTAAACATTGGGAGAAAACTTTACAAAAAATCACACAAAATTGGGTTTTTAAACGTCCGTTATTTTATTTACAAAGTGGTGACACCATATTTTAATGGCTAAAGACAATTTCGCCAATCCAGTGAATACATTAAAATGATTTGGAACTTGATAGGTACCGGTACTCTCGTTTTTCAGGAGTAGGCCGCGTAAAATGGCTCTTGGGTCGTAACAGACATGAAGACAGACAGAAATTTAGATGAGACTTGTTTCGGTTTCTCTAATGTATAAAACGTAAAAATAACCTAAAAGTTTATGATTCTGAGCAATGTACAGAAAAAACTCTAATTTTATTTATATAGATAAACCACTATGGCATAGTGGTGTGCTGCCCACGCTGCAGCATGGCCTGTTTTTCTCCTGGGTCCTCGGTCAAGACCCCTTGCGGCCACCCCTGGCTTGTAAAAATTTATTGTAGTATAATATCAACCTATTTTTGATCAATTATGTAAAATCGGTGTGTTTGCAACTAGCTACAGATGGTAAATTTTTGATAGTGAAAATAAAAGAAGTAATACCACAATCATGATTTACAGGAAAGTGTATGGGATCCTAATGGTGCAGCTTATGATATCCCTTGGTTTTGTTTCAATCTTCATGTACGTTGAACCAGTGAAGCAGTTTGTTCATGAAAATGGAGCACCTTTGTAAGTTGATATTTTATGAATAGAATGTAGTTACAGGCTTAACTTTGTTTCAATAATTCACCCGAATTTAAGTTGCAGAGTACAACAGTTTAGCGAACAGAGGTTTTAGTATTTTTATTTGCCTCTTATACATTTACTGTGTTGTATGTGAGTAAAGTGTACTCTATTGTTATGCATTTTAGGTGTCAATATTATATTTAATTACAAGATGTTTTTCTATCCTAGATATTGTAAAGGTATTGCAACTTCAGTCTTATGTATATGCATTTTAAGATGGTTTTTAGTAACATAAATATTCATTGTAAGTAGGCCTGGTAAACATTTGGATCTATTTATTTTAAGAAACCATTTTTAACTATAAAATGAACTATTTTTACTGACTTTGTTTGGGTTTTCTTGCTTGGTCACTGTGACTAAATGGCATTTAGCGTACAAGAATGAAAACGAATATAAGATTACTAGCTGAACCCGGCAGACGTTGTCTTGCCTTTGACTATTTATAATCCCGCGGGCTTTGCCCCGTTTAACTTCTTAATTTTCAAGATGATCTCGTTCGCATGGCTCAATCACGTCCTGGTTGAAGTTTTTTCGGTACGCTCACTCACCTTTAGGTTGGAGCTCGTTCGCCGCGCTCACTTGCCTTCAGGTTAGCTCGTTCGCTACGCTCACTTGCCTTCGGGTTAGCTCGTTCACTACGCTAACTCGCCTCCAGGTTGAAGTTCGTTCGCTACGCTCACTCACCTTTTGGTTGCAAATTAGCTGTTGTCATAAATGTAAAAAAAATAATAATGCTGCACCCTGTTGGTAATCCTTGTAACTTTAATGCTATTGAACATCATAGAACAGAACCAACTTGTTTAATTGACAGCTGTTAAGATTCATTAATTCCATTTCTCATAAGGTTAACATGGGAATCTCCAGAGCAACTGGGGCTGAGCCGATTGGACGGATCACGAAATTGATGATGTATAAACCTATTCCATGACATTCTACACGTATGTACCAAGTTTCGTGGCAATCGGTTCAGCGGTGTCTGAGTTTATCACTGCCAAACAAACAAACAAATATATATACAAACATCCTCTTTTATACTTATAGATATGATCTAGATGCATTTCAAATTGTTTCATAAAATCTAAAACTAACCCTTTAACAAGCTGGCACAATTTGACCAGGGTTGTCACTTATTAGTCAGGCGAAAATCGGGGGGGCCCCTCCCCCAGGGTAAGCACATACATAAACGTTGGCAAAAGGGGTCCGAAGTCGGGACTGCCTAGACCAAATCGGGATGGGTGGCAACCATGGTCTCGACACACATAAAGTATATTCTTGAGTGTGGCAAATTACATGAAAATATAATAATAATATCTCTGGTTCTTACTGTCAACACAATCAGGGGTAATATTCCACTACGGCCGTTTCGGAGATGACTCCATCGTCAGGTGTGTAGTGGTACACTAAACTATAGTCTTGTCACATTTAACACAAACTTTCTTCATTTGCATTGCGTCAGGGGTTGAATAAATAATACACATATAAGCACAGGACGGACACACGAAAACACAATACACAAAAACATTTAGAGCGTGTGCACGACTTGAAAACTAACGACCGACTCGATGGAGTCATCTCCGAAACGGCCGTAGTGGAATATTACCTCTGATTGCGTTCTTTGGTAAGAACCAGAGATATTATTATTACACATAAATTGTCAAAACTTTGAACCACATGCCAAATTTACAAATATTTATATACATTAGCCACCTATCAGTGACTGACTGGGGATCAAACTTTTATGTGGATTAACATGATAATAGAAAGAATAGACCACTTTTGATGCCTTCACATTAAATTTATGTACCATACAATAATTTGGAGTTCCTAACTAGATATGTCTAGCTTGGTTTTACAAAGGTTTATCTGGAATTTATATAGCCAAGCCACGTGACTTTAATGGTCCTAATGCAATTGTAATACAATTGTTTCGTCCTTTAAAAGTTTATGATTACTAATGTAATTATGTTTTACCCTTCTCTGTTACATTGTCTAGTATTTTAAAACCGACCAACAAAGTGATTGTGTTTCAGTGTTTTGGCCGGAGCTATTATCGCCATCGTCACTATTATCATATTGTTATGCTCCACCAACGCTCGGCGACGTGCTCCTGCCAACATCATCTTCCTTGGAGTTTTCACATTGTCCTTTAGTTTTCTTCTTGGAGTTGTGTGTGCTGCTTCCCAGAAAGAGGAGGTTGGTTTCATGGTTTCCAAACCAACTGATTTGGCTATATTATAAGGCCACTTAGAAGAAGTAAATAGACTAGCCTATTAGTCTTAGCTCTGTTACTGTTTCATAACATTTTTACTGGTAGGCTAATCCTTGTGATTCATTCCTCACAGTGCAAAACTTCCTAAAACAGGTCTGTTTATAGGCTACTGCCATCGGCAGAAAATCATTATTCTGGAAACCTCATCTAACAGGTTAATCTTGAAAATATAGTTATTTGATGAAACCAACAGTCTTAAAATATTTTGTTAACAAAATACTGAATTTTACTTGCATAGAGTCTCATTCATATGAACTTTAGTTGCCCGACCCTACCATAAACCACCAACCATGATGATGTGGGATTGAGTACCATGAAATGGCATGCTGTGTCTGTGTGGTATGACTGTACAGAGTACACCATATTGGGAGAGCCCTCAGTACTTGGAGACCATCCCATTCCCTACCTACAAAAGACACTTGTCACACTTTCGGCACCTACTCTTTCTTATTTAGTGTGCTGCATAACTCACTGTTCTTCAACTACTCATTCCTGCATTCTTCTCTTCTACCCCTTACATCTTAGTATGAATTACAGATGGCTGTTATTTAACGTAATAGGATACAAAATATTACCTTTACTGAAATGTCACCTTGCTAATAAATTACTCAGATGCACTACTATTTTTGTAACGTATTCTGTTCTGATCTTTTTAAACGATCAAATTAAATAACTATTATTCCAATATATGTTCTTATTAACAGCGAGCATTATGAAATAGTATCTTGGTAATATATTATTTATATTAGATTTATATTGGATTTTTATAGATTTTTATGTTATTTGCCCTTTATGCTTCAACTAACCTACCTTTAGATCATCATAATCCTAATGTACAATTATGAAACCACGAATCGCATACATTCAAAACCGTGCAAATCGGGATCACATATAATGAGGACTATCTACAAAAAGGTTTAGTTAATTAGTTAGTTATCAAATGTTTTAAGTTATGTTCTTCTCGGCAGGTGTACTGGGCACTGGGTATTTGCACTATTGTGACTATCAGCCTCACGATCTTCGCTTGGCAGACCAAGATTGACTTCACTATGTGCCACGGAACTATGTTTGTCCTGTTGATGATTCTGGTCACTGTCGGCATTGGTTCGCTGTTCGTTCCATATGATCGCACGACTCAACTCATCATCGCCGGGTTCGGAGCGTTTGTCTACTCTCTGTTGTTGATCCACGACACTCAACTTATTGTGGGAGGTAAACACAAGCTTGTTATTTCCCCCGAGGAGTACGTGTTTGCTGCTCTCAGTCTCTACTTGGATATCATCTCTCTGTTCCTCAGAATCTTGCGTATTATGCGGTTGGCGTAGATGTCGCAACTTATCTATCAATTCAACTATATTTATTCTTTGTGTGCGTTTCAGCAAGTTCCTGGAGGATCAGTTTTTGCTTTGATGTATCATTGTGTAATGCAACAGTTTATTATATTGTGTAGCTATAATTTCTAGAGTAAGTATTGTGTGAATGACTATCTTTCAGTCAAAATAATCGGATCTCAACTTTAAAAATTGTACAGGTACAATATTTTTCAACCCAGCAGGTCTGCTGCAATTCGTTAAGATATAAAAAAAAAGTTTTCTCGCAATATAATCGATTGTATGTTTTTCAAGACTTTTTGATAGGCTGAAATTCTACTTTTTTATAAATTAGGCTCTAGTTCTAAAATTATTTTAATAATAAATACCCTGATCAAATTTATTAAGAAATGTTACAGTATAACTGTATTTGGCAGATTTAAAGTAAAATACATCTAGTCCATTCTTAAGCTAATTTCTTGTAGATTGTAGATGCAGGAGGAGTTTCTCAGTAATAAGATAGCTAGCACTGTTAAGTACTACTGCAGGAAATGAATAATGGACTAAAATAATCACTGCAGGAAATGAATCATGACCCTACTATATTGCCTCTTGAGAATGAATCATTTAAAAACAAACATTTGCCATGTTGTAACAGTCATTAGATTGGCATTTAACTAATCTTTCTTCATTAGAAAAGTATTTAGTGTTTAGGTATCTTATCTTTATTTTTAAAGTGGTTATTCATGACAAAATTCTAAGGTTAGAGCATTACTTTTTAGGCCTTTTGCATTTATCTTGTAACTACTGCTCAATTTTCTAATTTTCAACATGATTTCTTTTTAAAATCAAGTGTTACTAAATGGCCAAGTTGACCTAATAAACTATTCCTTGAAACAATTAAAACTGTATGTATAGTTTTATTACTGACTGATAGAATTTATAAGATATTATAGATTAAGAAAACCTTTATATTTTGTATACATACTAATACTCAAGAGACTTAATTTTTCAAAACACTTTGTGCTTTGTGTTGTGATATAAAATAGTGTTTGAAATTGTGATGACTCCTTATCATCTCAACATATTATTAGTCCAGTCTGTTGCTGTATGAAAAAGGTCTGCAATTCACAAATTCTTAAAATAGAAAAATATATTTCTATAAAACATACTTTGTGCATTGTTTGATATAAATATATTTTTCAAGCTACGGTATACTTTTTTGTGAGAATTTGTGTTGTTCATGTTCTTTTACTTCAAACTAAGTGGATATATTTTCAGGTTAGATTTGCCCTACTAATTTGATAAGCTGATGGTTCATGTAATTTAAAATAATAAATATTTTATATAGGGTTATTATTTGAGCTTTTAATCCTCATCTCCTGTTCTTCATACTGAGTGAACTTGGGCTACCTGGTGGCTAGATATAGAGATTTGACAGGGAACAATTCTAACTAGATCTGATTCTAGCTATCTGATTTTCCTACGAATTTAATTGTGTTGATCAAATTCATTGGTGCAGAAATTATAGGCCATAGCGTTTTCCCGGAATTTACTAAGATAGGCTGCATGTATAGATTTTTGCATACAAAGTGTGCCTCAAAGATAAATCCGTGATCATCTGTCCTTCATGCTGATAGCCAATGACATAAAGGAAGTACCAGAATTATCAATGAAGATGTAGGCAATAAGCTTCTCTAAAGTTTTTTTAGTTGGTGTTCTTCTTGGCTGGCATTTCACATAAAAGAAGGTGAAAAATAAGCAAAAGCATTTCTATAAAAAATATGTATTAGAGACTCATCAAGAGTTAACAAATTTGTTTACACAATACACATCAAAACATCTCCACATTAAACTTAACTAACACAACTATGGTACAATGTACCCTGAATGGCACTGGTCATGTCAGAAAACAAAACTAATTACTACATAAAGATAAAATCACATTCTTATTAACATTGAACCACTGAGAAACTAAATGTGAGCTAATTGTCTTCACTGGAAATAAAAGTTTGACTAAAAAACATTTTAAGCTAACAAGTAAATTATAATTTTTTTTGTAGTATGGTCCCTAGTAGGAGGTTAATTGTCCCAGTCTTAAAATCCCAAAATACCTAAGTATTGGTTACACAACTGAGAGCAATTACAAATTAAACTAATCTAATCTTCTTTGGTATATTTCCAGCATCTGAAAAGATAAATATTCATTAAATAATTGAATTGCAAACAGCAAAATTTGGTACACACAGCATATCATAACTGTCTCAAATTCTTAGTTAATAATATATTACAATATATATTCTTACATATATATATACAGGGTTAGTAAAAAGTGTGGAGACCCCCTGTTATTTTTTTAACGGCCCATACTAGAAAAAGTAAACTCGGCACACCATTATGGCATGTTATGAAGTACTTTTTGGGCATAACCGCCACTTGGTGTTCATCCCCAAAATGGGGGATTTTGGGGGAAACTAAAAAATTTCAAATACAAAGAACCATCGAGTGACCCCTCATTTTGAAGGTCCTGGTAAAAGAAAACCAACAACGCAAATTAGAGGTCTCTATCTCAGTTCAGTACAAAATGGCAGCCGATTGAAATTCTCATAAGTTCCCAAACCCAAAATGGGGGATTTTGGGGGAAACTCAAAATTTTTTAATGATAAGCCCCATCGAGTGACCCCTCATTTTGAAGGCCATAATAAAAGAAAACTAACAACACAAACAATAGGTCTCTATCTTAACACAGTAAATTATGGCAGCCAATTCAATATAAAATTGCAAGTTATTTCCGATTTTAAAGATTTCAATAACCTTCCATTTTTTACTGGATTGAGATAGAAACCTCTAGTTTGCGTTGTTAGTTTTATTTTACCAGGACTTTCAAAATGAGGGGTCACTTGATGGGGCTTATCATTAAAAACTTTTGAGTTTCCCCCAAAATCCCCCATTTTGGGTTTGGTAAGCAAGTGGCTATTAGGCTTAAAAAGTACTTCATAACATGCCAAAAAGGTGTGTAGAGTTTAGTTTTCCTAGTGTGAGCCGCTACAAAATTTACAGGGGGTCTCCAGACTTGGAAAGCTGCAAGTTAAATTCAACTTCTGAGAATTTCAATTGGCTGCCATTTTTTACTGGATTGAGATAAAGACCTCTAGTTTGCGTTTTTGGTTTTCTTTTACCAGGACCTTCAAAATGAGTGGTCACTCGATAGGTCTTTGTATTTGAAATTTTTGAGTTTCCCCCAAAATCCCCCATTTTGGGGATGTACACCAAGTGACGGTTATGCCCAAAAAGTACTTCATAACATGCCATAAAGGTGTGCCGAGTTTAGTTTTTCTAGTATGGGCCGTTAAAAAAATTACAGGGGGTCTCCACACTTTTTACTAACCCTGTATATTTTTACAAATAAAAACAGTTTATAATCAAGAAGAAAAAGAGGATAACTAATGGATTGGGAATAAGTTTTCAACATTATTCAACACTTTCAGTTTATCTTTCGTATCAGTTAGTTCTGTTATCTGTTATCTTGTAATGTGTGTAACCATTAGTGTGTCCATTCTTATTTGCAGTTGGAGATTCAGGATCAACCTCAAAATTTTCTGGTTCAACACTTTCACTATCTTTCAAAGTTTTTAGATACCGGTACATAAAAGATGCAGAGACATATGAAGGTGCTATTAAAACATTAAATTAAATTTATTTGAAAAAGAAAAATGAAATATTTTCACAATATTTGCTAATGACAAGAAGACAACAGTAAGGAGAGAGCATTGATCACTATGTAACTGAACTCAAACTTTTAAGCCAAGATTGCGTGTTTGATGCAGGGAACGCAGCTCAGTACAGGGAACGCTATGTACGACGCCTTTATTTATAAATGGCTTATCTTCATCATGTACGACAGTGATTATTTTAAAACAAAACATTAGACTTAACCTGACGCATTATCTAACGATTATCTAACTTACCTTAACTTGAGTCAATAGTAATCTTTTTTGTGTTTGGTTTAAAGTCCAGACTAGGTTTTACTAATTCCACCTCGTTAAAGTATGGCATCTGGAGAGCTTCCATGGCAGAAATCCTTTTTAGTGGATCATAGATGACCATTTTCTGAAAAAGATTAAAATATATCTAATGTAGAGCTTTTAAAAGTGAAGAGTGTACAGTTGGCACTTAGTCTGACTATAGACAAAGAATAAATATAGACTGTTAAAGGAAGGTTCTGCAATGTGCAGGCGTTGTCGGCTCCTTGCTGGATGCTACCAGCAGACACTGCAGCCGTGTGCACCGTAACTACTTGGCACTCCTAGCGGTGGACGCCAGAAAATATGCTAACCGCAGCACTGCTGTCAGTCTATATTTACTATATTTGTCTATGGTCTGACATACTTGGTAAACCGATGCAATACTAAATGAGTCATTGGTCTGTCCCTATAGAACTGATATTCACTAGAGTCTTCCATATTCTCGGTTATAGTTTCCAGTCTGATTCCCCAGTCTAAACAAAGAGCTCACTTCTTATGTTGACAAAAATATAATCAAGGAGGTCCTGGAAACTAGACATATACAGTCAGCTGTGATGAAGCCACGTCTACGGCAAATAAACTAATTCAAGATTGCTACGATCAGGAGCATGACTGCAATAGCACACCGTGATGTACAGTGTGAGGAAGGAAAAAACACAAAATAGATCACAGACTTTCCCTACAGTTATGCTTAATTTAATTTAGAATACATCAGGATTTACAGCAGACTTTGAGTTAATAAACTAGATCAACCTGTGTTTTGTCTTCAACAAATATTTCTCTGATAAAAAAAAATTAACAAAACTGATAATGAAGTACAATGGTCCTGAACACTTCCACCAACTGCCGGCAGATACCAGATATTGTTGTTTCCTTAACTCCTTTCCTTTTAGAGGAAGATAATCATTTCATAAAGAAATCATGTGTCACCATTACCTCAAACAGATCGTGGGCCTCCGGCTCCAAGCCAGGTGCAATGTCTGAGAAGTCCTGACGCTCCCAACGCGGGAACACCGGCTTGTAGTCCGGCAGCTTGGTCACTCCCGGCCATATCTGCTCATCTGGCGTGCCAAGAGTGCGGAATATCCTGAACAGCTGATCAATCTCTGAGTCCCCAGGGAATAGTGCCTTCCTTGATGCCTGCAACATTATTTTATTTACAATTTCTGTACATACTTACATCATTTACACAGTTTAGTTTTTCATTCCATGTAAATAACCTTCCCCAATTCTACTCTACTATTGGAAGATTTCAATAATCATCATTGATTTAGTAGCTCTAGGGTCCTAGAAGCTGATAAGCATTCTCCATATTCGTCTCTAAATAAAGCCACTCCTCTAAGTTTAGCATTAATGACTTGTGAGGTAAAGAAGGTAAGAAATAGGCTAACTCACAAAGTCAGTAGAGTAGCAAAATATTGTATTTAACCAAACACAATTAATATTACTAGAGGAACCATGCTGCTCCGCAGCGTTAGAATAAAAATAATATCCGATAAATAATAAAATTTATAATTTTTTATTAAGTAATCCAGTATCTTGAGCTTAACTGATTCAAACGATCAATAGCTCAAATTAAAGCCTATAATTACCGATTATTTTGAGTTTAAACATATAAAAAACATCAAACAATACTGGAGGGATTGATTTTAAATCATAGAAAAACCTTATTAAAAATAATGTTTACAGTAGAATCCCTCTTATCTGGACTCCTCAGGACCAAGGCCAGTCCGGATAACGGTTTTTCTGGTTAAACCGACATCACTAAAAACTCGTTAAAACGGACCGTTTACTGTGATATTCAACTTAAATTTAGGAGAGCATTGTATTTAGACCATTTATCACTGGTCTCAAATCTTTCCCACGAGAACAGTCGTTTCAGTACCACCCACTTCCTGCCGATCTAGTCCGGTTATACCAATGTGCTGATAAAAATTTTCCGGTTAAAGAGATGTCATTTTCACCGAGTGTAGTCTGGTTAAACCGATGTCCGGTTAAAAGGGGTCCGGATAAGAGGGAGTCTACTGTATGTTGGTTGTTCACCTTGCGTTTGCTTAAAACTCGTCCGATTTGAATAACTAATAACTTAGATGAAAGCCTGTATTTCACTGAAGGTTCTTAGACCAAAATATATAGGATTATATAATTATAACTGGTGAAATACATCTTAAATTGAAGTAAGAATTAAAAAATTATTCAAATTATGTTTTTTGGTCGAGAAATACAGTAAGTAAATATATGCCGAAATTGTATGGCAAATATGTGCGTGCATACCTTCAATTTGAGACCTCAATCATGAAAATCGGTCAGGTAGAAGAGCCAAACGAACTA